GATGAAATGCCGTGATTAATGTAAGAACGGAACAAGCATGATGAGAAGCACACGTGGTTAACACAGACAACTAACAAAGCCCAACACCTAAAACGGCAACCGATTCCTCCACCAGCAAACGGATTTTTTGGCAGTACGGCTGCTACTGATCGTTTCGCATTTAAAGCGCGTACTGGTGACCAAAACATCAGTTTGCTATTTTCCTCTGGGTCTTGCTGATTTTGCCTTACTTGAGCCCTGAACTGGCCGGGGTTCCTTCTCGACTCCCTCTACCCCCTGCTTCCTTGTAGTTTCTGTAATAGTTTTGGATACAAACTGCGGCCTCCTGGCTCTTCTTGAAACGTTTATGTTCACAATATGACCTAGCAAATCACATAATTAAAAGTCTACGTCTTACAATTTATGCCAGTATTTCTCCGGGCAGCTTTAGTTACCTGAATCCGTTCTGGATCACGGTGGCAGCGTGCGTCATTTGCTTGTAATACGCGTACTGTTTGTATCTTCGATAGTAGTTCTGGATTATGATCGCAGCCTGCCGTTCCTTGTCCTGTTCCTGCTGTTGTCGTCCTTTGTAGGAACGATACGCTTTCTGGATAATCTTCGCTGCTTCGTAGAGTTCGCGCTGCTCTCGGTCTGGACAAAACCGCCGGTTTTCGGTCGATTTTTTCAAAGTTCACACGACGTTTACCTGATAGCGTTAAGTTGGAAAAGTCCTTTTCGAAAACGGTGCCGGAAGCTTGGAAGAATTCGCAAAAATCTGCAGTAGTCGGTGGCGGCGACGGCGAATCCAGAGTGAAGGAACAGGGCGACTGAAGACAACTTGATGACGCTGGACTTAAGCTGGATTGAGGCGTGGCCACATCATAGTATCTAGGAAAGGTCACAATAAGCACAAGAAAATGTGCATAGAATGCACGAAATGCCCTCAAAAATATGAATTTAAGACGTCGGTTGTTCGTTTCTTGGAGCACATTTCAAATTTAGTGAAGTTGCTGATAATATAATTTTGAAAACCGTTTTTTTGGGAGCAAAGCCGCAGTTTTCTAAGACAATCCCTGGGAACGCACTAAGCACCTGTAGTTGTGATCGGAAAATTCAAAGTTAAACTCCGAAGACTCGAAGCTGGACGAAGAAGGTTCCAACAGTGGTTCCATGTAGACGTCGTAGAGGGATTCGGATGGTTGCTGAGTATCGGGCGGCCCCGGACTATTTTCCATCAGCATGTCCTCAGATTCGTTCTGAAACAGTTCTCAATAATTGAAAAAAATCACAGTTTTACTGGAAGATTACCTTGATCCGATCCGGAATGGCGGCAATAATTTGCTCAGCTAATGTGAGCACTCTGGCGTCTTGTTCCCCTGAAACACCACAAATAATTAAATTGCGGTGTCTTTTAGGCGATATTTTCCTCTAAACAAACCAGAATAGGAAAAGTGCAAAAGGAAATTGAGCCGTTTTAAGCACTGTGTCCGAAAAAGCCGACAAAAAATTACAGTGGAAGAAAGAAATTGAAAAACAACTAGAAAACTTGGCTGCAAAAAATGATTCTTATAGCTCATCAGTGTAACGTATTGACTGTACAGGGTGTCCATTTTTTGTTGTAAATCTCGTCCAGTGGCCTCTTAAGTCTCCAGACCTTTCGGTGAAGAATTTTTTTTCTAACGCACATGCATTGAAAAAAAAATCTTCGAAAAGAAAAATTATTTTGAACAATTAAATTAATTGTGGTAAAAGTTTCGGCAATTTTTGGCGACAAAAGTTTGGAACTGGATAAATTCTAACTGCTGAGAGCGAATTGACTTCTGTTTGAACCGTTATTTAATATAATTATTTTTCCCTTAGTGGGTGTTTTTGAACAAAAAAAAAATTCGTCAGATAAATTTTCTAGACTGTGGCAACTGAATCATTGCGCAATTAGCGAAAGTTCCACATGCTCTCAGTTGGATGAATATTTGTTTTCTTGCAGTTCACCGCTACAGACATTAAGATAAACCTCATAAGATCTAGAAAAAAATGGCTTTTTCGCCCGTCGCGTTTGTTTACAGATGGGTGCAAAAAATCAACGTTTTGGATTTGCAGTGATCATTTTTTTTTGTCGTTGACCAAGTATGAGGTTCATATTGAAGCGAAAATTTCACAGGCGACTTGAGAACAAAATCAATATACCAGGTGGCATAAATGAACGAAATATTCGAAAGTAAACTTCACTTTAGTTTAAAATCCTCCAGAATCACATATATCGGGGGCAAATTTGCTTTGGGTCGTTTTTCGTGCAACCCTGTATATCGAATTTTTGTCCTAAATTATCCATGAAGTTTTAGCTTCAACATGAGCTCCAGATCGTAAAAATCGTTCTATGAGTAGAAAAGTTATCGCTGTTAAAAAAATAACGATTTTTTTAAACCACCCTATAAATAGAACAGACGGCCGAAAATTTGAAAAAATGTATCGAGTTGCTTGGCGTATCTTTAAACTTTTGGTGTCGGGACCCAAAAAACGAATTTTTTGGCCAACTAGGAGCATGACTGTTCGAAATTTTGCATTTGCCACCCTGTAGACATGTTGCCTTAGATCCTTAATTTTTCCAAAACATTGACGTTAGTTTTGCTAAGAAAAAAAAATTGACTAAATAACTTTTGAAACGGAAACCAAATCGCTTCACACAATCAGAATTTATCCAGTCTTAAAGTTAAGATAAATTTGGAGGTGTAACGTTCATTTTGTTAAGCAGTTTGGGGTTTTTTAAATATATTTTTTAAACAATATGTAGTCAGTTATAAGTTATAAATAAACGTGCTTTTTAGAAGGGTTAATTTTGTGTAAAGTCTTCAGTTTTATATACGACTGAAATGGACATTTAAAAGCCAACTAAACGATGTGACAATATACAGGGCGTCCCATTAAAAATGCAAAGTTTGGCTGGATTCTACGTGGAAAACTCCACAAGTTTCCGTTTTTACCTTTGCTATATTGGGTTTCATATTTGAGATACAAATGGTGCAGAAAAGTGCATCCTCTTCAGAAACACTCTATATCTACCAAACCAAGATGGAAATATTTTATTTGACTATTGACAAAAATCGGTAAGAGTATTGCAAAATCCGCATGCCTCTATCGATTTACAACAAAAATTGGACCCTGTACACTCAACTGATGTTCAAAAATCAGTCCAGTGTAAGCTTTCGAGCGGAACACGTCTGAGGATGCAAGCAACTCGTGCTAGCGAAACTTCAGCTTCACTCTTAACTTGTCTGGACTTGAAGAGTCTGAAAACACCGATGAACCACAAGTGTTGTTTGCTAACTAAGCTGATGAAAAAACATTCCAAACTATACAGGGTGTACCAAACTCGAGGTGTCCGCATTGGGATCTCGGATTAAATTGGCGGCTTATTCAAAACATCGAATTTGCCACACCTTGCAAGGTTATTTACAGCAAATCAAAGGCTTATAATAAGGGCTAGTCACGTGCTTCAGTTACTTACTTCGAAAGGAGAATTGGGTACATAGCGACTTATGCTAAGAAAACATGCGTTTAGAAACGTTTCCCCGTTACATTGACCTAGGCTTTGGTCTATCACCATTCAAGTGCAAACGCTTGAACCAATTTTCAGTGTTTTTTCTAGTGAGGGTTAATGGCACCAAGAACTCACATTAGTAACCGATATGAACAATCAAGTCCGCAAACAAGTTACTTCACTCTTTTCCGCCGTAAATTGTTTGCGGAAAACACCAACAAAAACAAAAAAAAAACATACAAAAGTTAGAGACAGAGACAACACCGACAGACAACATTTACATAGACCATACAAGAACTGACCTACTGCATTGCCTGAGCAGATATCATGGTCGTCTTCATCGCTAACAGCTTCCACATCAATTAAAGGACTATTGCTGCCTGCTCCTGTTCCTATTTCGCCTTGAGGTGTAAAAATGCATTTAATATTTGTTGAACAGGGCTATGTCTCAAATGTTATTAGCAGTAAGAAGGGATGCATTATAGGAAAAATTGACGCTCTCTTTGGCCGCTTAATCTCAGCTAATTTCGTCAAGCTACGCGCAGTTGAAGCAAATGGAAAGAAAATGTTGTTGGTTTGTCAACTTTGCCAAACTTTGCATGCTATGACTTGATAACGAAATGTAGGAAGGAAATATTCGACTTACCTCCCCATCAAAGCTTACTTTTATCGGTTTTGGTTATCTTTGATATCTTTTCGTAAAAGTAAGCTACCCTCTAAGGAAATTAAGCAACTAAAAGCCTTGTAGAAACTTACACAGCGCAAAGTCCGTTCTTCGGCCCACAGCCTCCAAAATATCCGACTCAAAGGAATTGTCTCTTGTGGAGAGGGAAGACTGAAGTGGCAGAGACATACTCCTATCGATTCTAAACAGCGAAAACTCTCCCTCAACATCTAGGCGTTTCTAGAATTTCCGCTACTCACTTGGACAGTCGGATGCAATCCCTGGAACCCACTTTGGAGCTTTTGGGCCTAGAGGAACTTTCCAGATTGGAGCCGCAGTTCATGTGAATGCCACTATCGATGGAAGGTCTCTTGATCAGTTTCTGGCCGCTGCTTCCTCTTGTGCTGGACGAAAGGTCCGAGAGCAACGGACTGTGCGAAGACGTTAGATACTTGTTGTTGTTCTCTTGGTCCAAATCGATGCTCAGGAATTTTTTGCTGTAGTCATTTCTGGAAAACGACTGTAGTGGTTAGAAGAGTGACAAAAGTTAAAGGGTTCATACTGCGTTTGCTTCACGCACCAACCTTATAGAGTTATAGCCAAAGGAAGCACAAAACTTTGATAAAATCAGAGCTGGAACGGAAAATGTGTGGGGCAGACTTGAGCAGGAGCAAAAAAATGAATAAGATGTTTTTGACGTGTTGAAAGTTGATTGAGAACATTTAAATTGCCTCACCTAATGATGGCGCCGGGTCGCAAGAAAACTCCATCGTGGCTTTTGCCGTTTGACGAAATTGAAGCCAAAGACCCCACACTACTAGCTGGGCTCATCACTGTAGGCGAAACGTTGTCAACGGAAGACTGGCCCGAATGCAGCATCATGTTCGCCTTATCCCTTCGCAGTTCCAGCTTTTCCAGTTCATCCACCAGCTCCGTTTGGTTGTTGTTGCGGGCGCATTCCAGCGCGGTTTGGTTCTGCTTGTTCTTCACGTTCAAAGCGGTGTGGTTCCACTTGTAGAGCATCACGGCTGTTTCGGTGTGGCCTCGCTCGCAGGCCCACATCTGGAAATGTTCCGTTCAGTGGCCACCTTCAGTTTGCTTACGCTGGAACCAACCAATGGCGTGTATCCGAACTCGTCCTGACTGAGAGCATCCACTTCGGTTTCCAGAAGCAGCGAGGAATTTTCCGCCCTCCAGTGCAGCATCGCGCACACCAGCCGGGAATAGCCCAAAGAGGCTGCCAGATGCAGCAAAGTCATTCCTGGAAAATTCCCGGACTCTACGCAACCTGGAAAGGCATCAAACGACCTCTCACCTCTGTGACTGGCAAACCAGGCCACGCTTAGTTCTTCGCCAAATTTCCATATGCGCGACGTCATATTCTGGCAGAAATTGACCAGGCGGTCCTCGAAGTTCGGTTGTGTGAACAGTGCGGTGTCTTCAACCTAAAAACCATTTGGATTAACGGAAAACTGACCTATGGAGGAGGTGTTACTGAGAGTAAGAGTCTGGCAGAAGAGTCTGATATTCGAACAATAAAAACGAAAGGCTACTTTTTCAGTGCCTCTTACCACGTCGTTGTCGGACGGTTCTTGTTTGATTTGAAGCCGATCGTCCATCGCCTCCAGCCTTTGGAGCAAAGTGAATTTCAGCAAATTATCGTTGGATCGCTCCACTTTCGGTTCGGGGGCGATCATCTGCCCATCTTTCGGCGGAAGCTTGTACTCAAACATCACAGAGTTGGAGATCACGTAGCCGTCGCAGGCAACTTGGAGCGTGGCCAGGCCAGCCTCATGAGCTAAATTGGAGAGTAACTCCAGATTTCTCCCAGAATCCATCACCCAAGCCAACATACCTGGACAGTAGCACCTTAAGACTCCGCTTTGTACTAACGTGGTGGGCACTGGGAATGTATCAAAAAGGACCGTGTAGGGGCCGGAGGAGTGCCAAGGTCCGGTCACCAGCACCTTAACTCCTCCTTCTGGATACGCCCACTCTGGCGAATAGTCCGTGATAGCGTTCGCTGCTCCTGCAAGCAGATTTAGATTGGAAAGTTGCTGCGGTGTTTCGGGTCAAACACGAACCATCCGGATGGTGTACGACATTGGGCTGGGATTGGTGGTGGCTTTGTTGGTGGGCGCTCTGATTGGCTGGGCCCTTTCCGGCTCCGGTTCTGTGCGCTTCGGACGGATTCACATCTAAAAGGGAAGCGTGGCTGGTTTCTAAGCCTTCCAGGTCCGGAAATTCGCCCAGCATATCAAATGCGTCCAGATTGACGAAAACATCGTCGTCCACCACATGAGTAGGCGACACCACCACGTCACAGTTGTTGATAAAGTCCATTGGATTTATGTCTGCTGAAAATTCGTTTGTTCTAGAGTGTTTCTAATACGAAATACGACTGAAGAAAAACCTATATATTTTCGTATATACAGGGTTATAGCCCGTTTGTTTTTTGCAAAGTATTATTTGATGACTCCACAGACGTCTATCGGGTGCACATTTTAAAAATATTTTTGTAATGTACAGAGGGTCCCTAAAGCCCTAAAAGTATCAAAGTTGTGTTTTTCTAAATGAAATACCCTATATATTATTGCAGTCTTGGATTCCCTGAGCAAAATAAGTGTTTGTTTTAATAAGAAATATAATGTCTAAATCTAAAGGTTTTTTAAATCATTCGAATTTTATCAAAATCTAATATTATTTTCATGAGTCAAATACTTTAGAATTATTTAAGTTATGTAAATGTGATTCGTAGTTTGGTGTAACAAGAAATCATATTTTATATCATAATGATAATAAACTTACCATTTTATACGGGGTGTCCACAAATTTAAACTAATCAAATAAGAACTTTAAGTGGCTATAACTTGATTAATTTAAATACAACCCCATATTTTTTAGCTTACCAGAAAAAGCAATTTTTAATTACCTATCGAATGGTACTAGGATGTTGATAACTAAGTTTTTGCCTTTTTACAAAATACACCAAATAATGGTTCTGTGCTCCATTTGGTGTTTTTTTTTATTAAAAGGTTAAATAACATATCAACAATAACATAAAACAAAGGCAAACTATTTATAACAAATGTTCGAAATGTTGACCGTCCATTTCCAGGCACTTGTAAATTCTTTTTTCAAAAC